TAGACAATATCCTAGAAAAAGACAATAAGGATCATAACCCAAGGAAGCAAAGCAGAATGAACCCATCTAGCATGACAAGAAATTAAATGTAAAGCGGGAGAACCCAACAAAAAGAAAAATTCATGACAATGATAAGTCAATATGTATCAGTTATAACCATCAATGTTAATGGTCTCAATTCATCCATCAAAGGAAATAGACTGGCAGAATGGGTCAAGAAGCAAGATCTAACAATATGCTGCATACAAGAAACACACTTCATTCAAAAAGAAACTCACAGACTGAAAGTTAAAGGGTGGAAAACAATATTCCATGTGACAGAAAACAAAAAAAAAGCAGGAGTAGCTATCCTCTTTGCAGATCAAGTGGATTTCAAACCAACACTGATTAAGAGAGATAAAGAAGGATACTGCATCCTTGTAAAGGGAATAATCCAGCAGGAAGAGAGGATGATCATAAACATACATGCACCAAAAACTAGTGTGACCAACTATATAAAACAAATAGTAATGGACATGAAAATCAAATATGCACTAATACAATAGTAGTGCAGGACCTCAATACCCCACTATCACAAATAGATAGATCAACTTGACAAAAAATAAGCAACAAAATACTAGAACTCATTGAAACTCTTGAAAAAAATGAATTTAACATGAGTTTACAGAGTGGTTCACCCCACAAAATCAGAATACCCATTCTTTTCAGCTGCACACAGGTCATTCTCCAAAATAGACCACATACTCAGAGAACATGTTTAGGTAAGTGCAAAGGAACTGAATTTATCCCCTGTATATTATCAGACCATATTGAGATGCAATTGGAGATCAATAGCAAAAGAAACCGCAAGAATTTCATAAACACATGGAAATTGAACAACACACTTCTCAATAACGAATGGGTCACAGAGGAAATTAAAGAAGAAATCAGACAGTTCCTTCAATTAAATGACAATGACAATAAAACATGTTGGAACCTATGGCACACAATGAAAGCAGCCTTATGAGGGAAATTCATAGCAGTGAATACTCATATTAGGAGAACAGAACGAGCCCAATTAAACAACCTGATGCTGAATCTCAAGCTTCTAGAAAAAGAACAACAGGATAACCCCAGAGCTCATACAAGGGAGGAAATTATAAAGATCAGAG